AGAACCAGGTAGTCTCCTGGAGAGCTTGGTCCCATGTGGGCAGAGAATGCCATTGGTGGTCAGGGAAATTTCATTAAAATATCCTCATCTATTCATTTTTACCCTGAAGGTTCACCTAGCCACTTCTTGCTGCAGGAAAAGCTATCTGAGGCACAGGTTGGCATTTTGTCCAGGGCATCCTGGCACTAAGGTGCCGCCAGCTTGTGCCTGGGAAGAGCCCAGCTACTACTGAGAGCTGTGCTGCAGCTGACCAGGCCCCTATAGTCAGATATGAGGAGGAGCCAACCACTCAGACCCCAAAACCAAGCAGCACTAATTCAAGAAAAAGGAAGAAAAGGTTTCACAACCAAACAATAAACGAACAAGTGAGAAAGACTATAGCACCAGGCTACAGCTGCCAAGTGGCCAGAGGCATCCTAAGCTGCATTTTTATCCAGGTGGGAGAGCGTATGAGTGAAGACGGGGAGGCTCAGTGTCCTGGTCCCTTTCCCTCCACAGGGTTGCTGGCTCTGCGATTCCAGATTAGAACCATATCTGAGCAATAAGAGGTTGGGGTAAGGTATAGTTGGGATTATGAGGGCTATCCCAGGAGGCCTGGATGAAAAAGAAAGTTCCAAAGCAGTGGCCAGCTGTTTCTGAATCAGGTTGGCCCACAGAGGAAAGGGGCTGTCCCAGAGGCCTGTCCCCAGAGTACCAAGCACTGGAAGAGGTGGCACTACACATCCTTGAGGATCTTCCGCGTGGGAGAGTAACTCTTTGACTCTGTGATTGGGAAGAACAGGCTGAGACCAACTGGGTTCACTCCAGGAATGCAAGGCTGGTTCAATACCCTAAAGTCAACCAATTTTATCTACCAAATTAACAGACTAAAGAAGGAAAATCACATTATTGTATATCAATCATTGCAGAAAATGCATGGGACAAAATTCAAAACTCATTCGTAATTTAAAATTCTCAGAAAAATAGGACTAGAGAAGAGCTTCCCCGGGAATTCCCTGGTGCTTCAGTGGTTAGGACTCCACACTTTCACTGCCAAGGGCCCGGGTTCAATTCCTAGTTGGGGAACTACGATCCCACAAGCCATGAGGCACGCCGGGGAAAAACATAAATTAAAAGGAAGGAAAAAAAAAAGGGTGAGAGAAGAACTTCCCCAGGTTGATAAAAAGCATCTACAAAACAAAAATCTACAGCTAACATACTTAATAACAAAAGACTAATGCTTTCCCCCTAAATTCAGGAACAGAGCCACTGTGTCTGCTAAAGGATTACTTCTAGCAAAAGAAAAATAATCCTAGGAGACAATTCTCTACAGGTCTTTCACGCTTCTGCATACCTTGTAAATGAAAAAATTACTGTTCTTTGTTCCAGACTATCTTTTCAAGGATGTTTGTTTAGCAAAGAGCGTTGGAAAATAAAGATAGTTTCGGGACTTCCCTGGTGGCGCAGTGGTCAAGAATCTGCCTGCCAATGCAGGGGACACAGGTTTGATCCCTGGTTCGAGAAGATCCCACATGTCACGGAGCAACTAAGCCTGTGTGCCACAACTGTTGAGCCTGCGGGGCACAGCTACTGAAGCCCGCGCACCTAGAACCCATGGTCCGCAACAAGAGAAGCCACCACGATGAGAAGCCCATGCACTGCAACGAAGAATAGCGAATGCTTGCCGCAACTAGAGAAAGCCCGTGCGCAGCAACGAAGACCCACTTCAGCCATAAATAAATAAATAAACAAATAAATAAATAGATAGATAGACAAATAAATAATAATAAAGTTCATAAATTAAAAAAAAAAGAAAACAAAAATAATTTCCACATTAGAGCAAAGGGCAGGCATGCTTACTGACTGCTATATAACATTCAGGTTCTCTGAAATCAGGGTTCCTCTTTGTAATAAAATCCATTGCATAAGCAGGTGTTCATCTGTGTTACTCCCATGGGACTTAGGGGGAAAGGGAACTGATTCAAAAAGAGAAAACCCATACAATCAATATGAAGACTATAAAAGGAGACATCATTATAGATGGTACATCCATTAAAATGATTTTTTAATGACATAATGAAAACTTCTTGCAATATGTTTGAAACTTTAGACGAAAACAGCGAGAAAATATAATTTACCAAAACGTACTCGAGAAGTAGAAAACCCAAAGTGTCCTCTAACCATGAAAGAAAATGAATCAGTAATTAATTTTTTCCATAAGATCAGAAGCTTCAGAGAATTCTATCAAACATTCAAGAAAAATTTGTAGTCTTAAACGCTTCCAGAGATTAGAAAAAGAGAGTACATCTTCTCCAAAAATCCCTTTCACAGATTTTCCTGGAGGAGCGGCCATAGCACAGGAAGAGACACCAGTCTTGGAGAGTTACAGTCAGTTAAGGAGAGAGTGGCAAATGTAGCTAAGTGTATTCTGGTCTCTCTTCACATCACTTGTGCTTTTTTGTTATTCGGCTGCCGTTGGGTCTTCGTTGTGGTGCGCGGGCTTCTCGTTGCAGTGGCTTCTCTTGTTGTAGAGTGCTGGCACAGGAGCTGAGGCACGCGGGCTCAGTAGTTGTGTCTTGCGGGCTCTAGCACGCAGGCTCAGTAGTTGTGGCGCACGGGCTTAGTTGCTCCGCGGCGCGTGGGATCTTCCCAGACCAGGGCTCGAAACCGTGTCCCCTGCATTGGCAGGCGGATTCTTAACCACTGTCCCACCAGGGAAGTCCCAGATCGCTTGTCTTTTATCTTTTACTAAAGATTTTGTGGAGAGGAATGTGTGGGAGGTTGCCTTCTCATCTAAGAGGGAAAGTTTCCAAGGTTTCATCTATTAGGTATGACCTTTGCTATAGTTTTTGATACATAGCTCCTACCACACTGAGATTCAATTTTTTCAAACTTTTTTTCTATTAAGATGATATATGTGCATTGCTAGATGGCACATTATTCCTTTTACATACTGCTAGACTCAATTTGCTAATATTTTGTGTAGAATTTTTGCATCTATGTTCACGAGTAAGATTGCTATATAACTTCTCTAGAGCCTCTCTTACAGCTGGGGTGAAGGAATCAGAGAACGCAGTTCCCAACCTACAACTTAAACTTGGAACTGCTTTCTAAAACAACAAGTTGGCTGTATCTTCTATTTCTTAACTATGAACCTCTTTAAAGTTCTACACATCAGCCATTTGTCATTGAAAATCCACATACTTACCCTTATTTAAGTAAAACCTCCAAAGATTTCACTACCAATTCTCAAGTGTTTCTCTCCACGAAAGTCTTTGCCAAGACACAAAAGATTTCATTAAACTGGGGAGAAATGTGTATGTGTGTACCACGCATGCCCATCCTCCCATATACTCGTTGGTCCCCCAACGTTTGTGGTGCCTTTGTACCTACCAACAAGAACTTGTCTTCCATTGTAGAGAATTACCCCTAAAAATGTTCTTACTGGGTAAAAGCTCCTGACAACAAAATAAAAGGTGGGACTTCCCTGGTGGCGTAGTGGTTAAGAATCCACCTGCCAACGTAGGGGAGACGGGCTCGAGCCCTGGTCTGGGAAGATCCCACATGTCGCCGAGCAACTCAGCCCGTGCGCCACAACTACTGAGCCCGAGGGCCACAACTACTGAAGCCCCCACGCCTAGAACCGGTGTGCCACAACAAGAGAAGCCACCTCAAGGAGAAGCCCGCGCACTGCAACAAAGAGTAGCCCCTCTGCTTGCCACAACTCGAGAAGACCCGTGGACAGTAACAAAGACACAACGCAGCCATAAATAAATAAATAAATCGATTATTTTAAAAAATTTTTTTAAAGAAAATAAAATATTAATTTTTGTTTTTCAAACAGATAATACTGTTAATATTTCTCACGTAGTCTACACTGCATTCTGGTATGCAGATGAGCTAGTCAGGGAAACAACTTTGCCCTCGAAGTTGGTGGAGAGGCCAGCGGCACTTGACTCTGCAGCTGGGGGGACAGCTCGTTTCTAAGCCCTGTCTTCCACGCAGCAAACACTTGTGTTTACCCGCTCTCCTATCACACCACACATTACCTGCCCGCTTCCAGCTCTGCCTGTCTGGGGTTCCTTTCTCTTTACAAAAATATTCAGTCCTCTGCCATCTTCCCAGGCTCTCCCACAGCCCACCGACCCCTTTTATAGCACTTGTCACCAAACTGTTCGCCGGGCACAAGAGGCGTCCTATGCAGATTGGCCGAAAGGCTGAGTCAATGCTAGATGGAATGAATGACTGCGAAGCAGCCACAGAAAATGCCCTCTTTAAATTCTAGTCCCCTCCTCCTTCCTAACCGAATCTTTCCCTCCTTTTGCTTCCACCACTTCCTAGCTGTGGTACCTTATGGCAAGTGCTTTACCTCTCTGTGCCTCATTCCCTCAAATGTCCAATAGGGATAAGTCATCATGCTGTTGCAAAATGAAGCTCGTTGGTCACAGGGATCGTCACTGGGACACTGAACAGAGAGCCCTCAGCACAGAGCCTAAGCAAACAAGGCCTCAATAAGGGTCCGTCAGAAAGGAAAGTTTCTCTACACTGCTGTCGACCTTGCCTCCTTTCTCATTTTCTGCTACACATCCACACCCACTTGCTCTGTCTCCCCCTCACCCCTTGTCTTTCCCCATCCTGTCTCCTTTTGAAGACCCACCGTCCTTCCCTCCTCCAGGAAACCTTCTAGATTCCTCAAAGCCCTTTGGCGACCCTACCTCTGTGGGGGCCTCCAGCTTTTCAGCCTCTAAGCCTCCAACCCTTCCTCCTCCGGCTCTGGCTGGTTCTGTGAGTCCCAGGGGGCCTCGGCCTCCTCCTCCCTCTCCCCTTTAACCACGAGCTCCAGAAGGGCAGGACTGAGGGGTCGCCGGCCAAGCTCCCCCGACGCCTGGCACAGTGCTGGCCAGTAAGAGGTGCTAAGAAAGGTCGATAAAGAGTTGGAGGGGAGGGGGTGCTGCTTCCTTGCGAGTTCAAGGCCCGGGGGGTGGAGCGGCGGGCCTCTCCAGCGCCCCTGCCTTCCCCAGCCATCGAGCTAATCAAAGATCTGGTCAACTACGACGTGTGCCCGGCGCTGCTCAAGGGCCTCGTGGCGCTGCTGAAACCGTCCTTCAAGGAGACCAGCAAACAGCAGTCCCAGATCGTCAGCGGTAGGAATCCGCTGGGATCGGGGTGGTGGACCCCGACGGGGCAGGGTGGAAGACGAGGGCGAGGGGTCCTCCAGCCTCACGGCCACTCCTCCCTCTTCCAGACGCTTCGGTTCTACAGCTCACCGCCCACCTGCCGTGGTTCTTGCAGCAGGCCGCGGCCGCCAAGGCCATCGGGTAAGCGGACAGCAGGTAGTGGGCGGATACGGCAAGCCAGGCCCCGGCACTGCCCGCGGGCCCCCAAGAGCACTCCGGCCGCCGGAGGGTCCCACGGCGCCGCCGCAGCCCGAATCCCACACCCACCCCACGCCAACCCCGCCCAGGATCCTGGCGCGAGGAAACACGAGCCTGGCCGAGGAGATGCTGCACCTGCGTGTGGTGCACAGCCTCATGGCCGCCATGGGCAACATGGACCACAGCAACAGCCAGCGGCAGGCCAGCCTCACGCTAGAGGTGCGCTGGGCGGCCGGGCGGCGGGCGGCGCGGCGGCGCGGCGGGCACAGCGAGTGGGCACGGCAGTCACGCCCCCTCGCCCGCCCACGCAGTACTTTGTGCAGTTATTCCCAGGGGTGCAGGAGCACGTGCGCAGGTCCATGGGGGAGGAACTCTACAAGCTCTTCCGTGTAAGTGCTCCCGCCCCGCCGCGCCCCGCGGGACAGAACAGTGCCCCTGTGCACAGCCCAGCGCACGGCCCCTCCCCTTGTACACCCCACACACAGATCGGCCTCCGGGCCGGCGGCGGGAGGGACTGCCCTGGCTTGGGCTTCTCTACGTGGCATCCTTCCGTCCCCTTTCCTGCCCTTCCAGTCAGGCCAGGAGTCTTACCGCAGCCTGCAACCTCCATCCGCCCACGCCCAACTCCAAGTCCAGGCTGCCCTGGCATCCAGCCCAGTTCCCCTTGCTCCTGTCCTCAGGGCAACGCCGAGGACCTGTACAGGAAAATAGATAGCATTCAGGCGGACATCTTGGTGGCCAACGAAGTCAATGTCACCAAAGGTGAGTGGGGTGTGACGGGGCCCGGGGCAGAGGTGCGGCGGCACCCAGACTCAGGCTCACCTCCCTGTCCCCAGAGCTGTATCTCAGTGGCCTCTCCGACAGCACCATGAGCTTTCACTTTGGCCACTGTAATCAGGGTCAGGTGGCCTACATCACACACTTCCAGAAGGAGGCTGTGGGAGAAAAGGAGCAACAGAGCCTCCAAGGCAAGCCAGGAAGCCAAGGCTGTGTGGCAGGGAAGCCTGGCAGAAGGAAGGAGCCAGGGCCAAGCTCCGGTTGACTCCTCTTGGCCCTTGGTGGGAGGCTGGGGATCTGCCCGCCAGAAGGGGAAAAGGAGAGCTGGCTGGGAAGGGTTCAATAAACAAACGGTCGTGCTATCTATCTGGTGTCCGTGTGTGGAGGGCAGAGGGAGATCTAGTGAGAGTTATGGTGACGGTCGGGGTGCCTCTGCTCACCAAGGAAAAACGCTGGTCTGAGGGGAAGGGCCACCAACGTCGTAGAAGATTCAAGGGCACAGCCTGAGGAGCGGCCTTACCTCAGCTGCCTGCTGGCCCCTGCGCTCTCCCCTCCAGGACACCGCACCCATCTGGTTATTCTCCTGCCTCTCCGGTTGCTTCCTTTCATTCTCTTTTACTGATTCCTCCTCTCCAACCCAGCTTCCTTCAAGGTGGAGTGAGGCAGGACCCCGACCTGGAGCCTCTTCCCTACCTTTACAGCTTTACACCCTGGTGATTCCATTGCTTTAAATACCACTTCTGTGCAACGACTCCCACGTTTCTATTTCCAGCTAAACATTTCTACCTCGTGGTGTTGTCGACGAAAAATTGAATCAGTCGATCTAAGAAAGCAATGGAAAATTTTATTCGAGCCAAATTGCGGCGTATGAGCCGGGAACAGCCTCTCAGAAAGCTCCAAGAACTGTTCTGCCTGTGAGAGGTCAAAGCACAGTTATCCAGGGCTTTGTACGTTAAATGACGCACACAGTGACATTCACACAATCCAGATCGACACCTACAAAGCAAGTAATGGGTCATGGGTCATCAGGGCCCCTTACAAGATCAAGAAGGAAGGTTATCTCCTAAGGAGTTACCTTGTTGATACTAGGAGAAGGTTGCTCTTTACAGATGACCAGGTATTGCTGCCGACGGGGCGGTTGGTCGATGCAGTGCGTGCAGATACGCAACGCACTGTAGAGGGAAGAGAGGAGGCCAAAGGGCAGAGAAAATTATTTATGTTCAAATTTTCCTTGACTCGCTTTAGAATATGGACTTGTATTTCATCAGTGTCCAAAGCTGAACTCCCAGTCCTGTGCCATCTTCCCCAACTCAACTGATGGCAACTCATCCTTCATGCCACTCAGAACAAAATCGTGGTGTTCTCCTTGATGTCTCTCTTTAACCCCTGGATCCATCCTGTCTGTTGACTCTACCTTCCAAATATATCCAGAATCCAACTATGTCTCACT